TTAGGTCCATCGATGATGATGATAATGATGATGCGCGCATCTCCATCCACCATCACCATCGCCGTCGAATCCATTCTCCTTCAACAGTCAAACCGAATCCGGACAGAATGGACGATCGGAGACGGACGAAGATGGCATTGTTGATGATGCCTTTCTTTTCTTCTACTCGCCGCACACTATCTACTGTGGTGCTGCTGCTGCTGCTGGGTTGCCTGGAGTTGTGGGGGTAGGAGGCTTTCAAAGAAACTGGACCAGAATTGGAAATCGGTTTGATTTGAGTTGCCTCCTTCCTTCCTCTCCGGACGGATTTTTCACTGCGCGTCCGAGGCCTACAATAACAAACCCGCCGAGATGAAAAAGGAGGAACTTGAGAAAATACAAAATAAGAAAAAAATAAAAAAAACGAAAACGAAAGGAGTGTTATATAAACAACATACATTTAATTTTATGTGAGGATTTTTTTACGCCCGTTCGGTCCGCTTTCTCGTTAAAATGCGTACCATCTAACCGGCCAACTCCACACCAAAGAAATCAGGCGAACAGGGACCCAACGTCAACGGAGAAAGAGCGGGGCGCGGGGAGGGAAAATCGGAAAGGATTTGGACGTGTATGAACGCCTCACTCCTTCCTCCCCGCTCCCCTCCGCTCACCCGTCCTGAGCTCTATCGTAGAAAGATTGCCTAGGAAGAGGAGTAGTCTCTTTTCCGGCTATCTACATTTTCATTTCGGACCAAGATTGAAAGTTTTCGCTTCTTATCTGCGCTCGCCTTTCATGAAACGGAAATTTTCCAGTATTGAATATTACACTGTTCCTTCGGTTTTCCACCTTCTACTTCGTTTTCTTGGTCGGTTACACTCCCAGAAGCTCGTTCCCGTTGTTCTAGTTGTTGTCCGAGCAGTTTTGTGGGTATGATGTTTGCTTTCCAGAAGACAGCGGAGGGTTCGGTTGTTGGCCATTTTGGGCTGTGGGTATTTTTTTTTTCGTCTTTCTCCGACACACAATATGTTGCCGGGTCTGATGCGCCCGGACCCGGGCCATTACCAGTGACTTTTTTGCGATAAAATTTAGAATGCCTACGCGCGTTATCCCAATACGGTGCGCACTGCCGGATGTTGTTGTTGTTGTTCATGCGAGAAAGATTGAATCGGAAGGAAGGGTTTGATGAGATTTTTTCTCCTTTCGGTTTGTTCTGTAAGATTAAATCTGCCCCTGCGATGTGGTTCAAGGGCATATGATTGAAGGAAATGTGTGATAAATTGGGCCTTTTTCTATGGAAAAAGTTGAGATTGTGCGTACAATTGAGAGACATTGATTGATTTTTAGTACAAGAAAGCGAATCAAAATCTTGTCAGTAAAGTTGTTTATTTGGAATAGGCATGATTGCAAAATGAAATGAAATTCTATAAAACTCATTTTTTAAGCTCTTTTAACTGGTGTTACATTTTGATTGAGTTCATTTTTTAAATATTTTTTTTTTATGAAGATAGAGATTTTTTTTAACTTGTTCTAAAATCAAAATCGTTTATACATAATAAACATTGAAGTCTTATTGTCTTCAAAATTAACTAAATAAACATATCAGCACTAGTAATACGTAAATATTATCAGTCTTAGTGTCATCAACATACAGAATAGAACTCTTTTTTATTTTAAAATATTTCTACTATGGAAAAGGGATATTATTGATGAATTTAGCATGGGTTTTTAGTTAAAATTTTAAACAAAAACCTTGAAAATACGTTTATTTATTTGTTCGTTTATTTATTTATGCGTTCACCATTTTTTGAAGAGAAATTTATGCACGGTTATAATCAAAGACCTAAACGCGATTTTCGTATTGAAAACCGTATAAAGTGGGCTTACTTAGAATTGAGTAACAATATTATTCATTCTGGTATAAAGTATCCTCAATTTTCACAATTTATGAGTAAACATTATGTAAATTTATTGAAATTTGGCGTGTCAATATTAGAGGAAGCATCCTTCAATTGCAAGGGTATAGGTTTTAAGATTAATTACACTATTTATTTAGTACAATCATTTACTACATCAATTACTTTACAATTATCATCCAAATTAATAATCCACTAAATTAAACAAATGAGTATCGATTAATAATGGAATATCATGCTGCTGCATGTCTGTTGCTCAATGAAACATAGATAATACATTGAGTTCTAAAATTTATTCAACGAAATTTCTTCCAGATCTCTTGTTTATGTTTTGCTTGGTCATAAATGTGGTGGCTGTTTTTTTGCCATTTTCAGCTAAACGTTGTTCCGGTTAAAATATGAGCAGAAGTTTAGTCTCCAACAGGGCCGAAATGCTTTTATAAATCACTAGTTGAATACCCTCGGCGTTGCTTGGGAAAATTGAATGCATTAATATGCTTACTCACTTCTCACTTATCACTCACTTACTTCTCGCCCATCGACTTCTCACGCCCTGGCGAATGGTTCATTAACCTAAACACTCATAGTCTCATTCTCAGACATTCCTTGCGTCATTCCATTCTCAGTTGACCCATAAGAAAAATAAGAAGATTAGCGTTACGGACAATCTTTCGCGTTCATAAATTAGAAGATAGATAGAAGATGATTCCAAATCTGAATTTAAGCGCAGTTTCGTGAATCTGACGACAAAAAGGGAAAGTTGTTCTTTTCCAGATGACAGTTGAGCATGCTTACCGTGTTCTTCAACTTATTGATTTAGAAAGAAACATGTGTGCTTAGTTTTTTAGTACAGATTTGCGTCAATAAAAACGGTAATTCCAAAGATTGCATTTTTTTTTTACGATACGTTGGATAATTCTCAACAATTATGAGGCCCAAATAAAAATTCCCTAAAAATAAACATTCTATGTACACCCAAGTAAATTTTTTGGATTTATGAGGTTTCTGTAGACCGTGATTTAGACATGTAGATTGCTTTAAAACCTCCGTAAAAAATGGGATGTTACTTGGGATTTAGCTATCCACAGCCTAATGTCCACTAATTCGAGTTTCAGAACCACAGTAAAAATTAATTTCTTGGCTACTACGATGGTAATTTTCTATTGGATCGTTGTTATATAACTCGAAAATTCGTTAGCTCGGTCCCTTAAATATCGAGTTGTCGTGAGTTCACTGTAGAATTTGATTCTATTATTTTTTTAATTTCCACTGTTTACATCAATTTTGCGTTAATAAATAATCTTCAAATTTCCAACGGAGAAATTGTATTAAGGTAAACTTTTAGTACAAATATTGGATTTCAATGACTCCTGGCAAAATGTTAAATTAGGAAGAACACTTCTTTGTCCTCTCAGAGGCAATTTGATTCAATTAACCTCATCCAAAATTCTTAACGGCCTCGCACGCTTTGCGTTGACAGAAATTTGACAGATAACCGATGGGTTAGCTGTCAAATTCACGAAAACGAAACGTAACCGAATCCATTGTGCGTGGCCCTTTAGCGTTTAAAAATAAAGTCAGAGCTGTACCATGTTCTAAATCAGGCCTGTCCAATGTGTTTTAACCGCGGGTCAAATCTTAGAATCCATACCAGCTGGTGGGCCAGCTCATTTGATTTCAATTTCAATCACATTATATAATTTGACCCAAAAATAATAAAATTTCGTATTTAAAGATTTTAAGTTTTTTGTGTAAATCCAGAAATATAAAAAATGATTATTGACTCTGATTGATTCTAAGTTCTCGTCTGACAAAGATGAACGAGAATAGAACAACCAACGGCCGGATGTGAAGATTTTTTCTAAACTCGTTGCGGGCCGCACAAAAAGAGACCGTGGGCCATACATTGGGTAGGCCTGTTCTAAATCGTCATGCAATTAATATGCGATCTGAGTTTTTTTAAGTAAAAACTCCTATTAGTATTTTAATTTATTTTTATTTTATTTTTATTTTAGTCATTTTAACTCTCTTATGTCATTGGTGACTTGTCCAGGGTGAAATTTGAACTCGTCACTTTGGCGTGAGAGGGATGGATGCTAACCACTACGTCGGTGTCACCCTATCAACATAAACTGAAGGGTTATTGAAACGGTTACTATGTTGTAACTCAAATACTGCTTTTAAGTTTTGTACTAAAAAAATATGAATACACTTTTTTGTTTAGCTTTAGAATTATCCGAAACGGATTTCTTAAACATCTTAAGCAAATTAGTTTTGAACAGAGATTTTAAAATTCTCGCGTAACATTTGTTAGGCCAATTTCATGCGAACCGAAGTACTCCCACGCAAACCAACAATACCATCGGGTAAGGAAAATTCTGCCCTACCCGATAGTATTATTTTTGGTTCGCGTGGGTGTACTGCAAAAAGGGCCTTAACAAGTTTTGTTTTCAAAAGTTGATAGGCGCTTTGCAAATGTTACGCGAGGATTGCCCAAATAACCAACAAGCCCACTATTTCGCCTTTATGTAATATAAACCTGATATACAGCTAATATAAAGCTCGTATTGCTCGTATATCAACCTCATATTGCCTTCCATTAGCATTTCCCAGTGAAATAACCGACCGCAGATTTTCAATTCTACAAATTATCGTACCGGTTACGATGAAAAATTTCTTTCAATGTGTCAATGCGTCATACAAGTCCATGTCTTTTACTACTACAACTGTCATCAATATACACGCAGAATCCGGATGGTTATTCAAATCGCACGCCAAATCTACCTAAATCGGAACGCATCAACTTAAACACAACTGCCTCTAGTTTACTCGTTTGTTCAAATTTCAAATTTCCAATCACAGACAAACGAAAAAATCCTAAATGCAAACAACTCTGATTTTTCAAATATTAGTTTTCTGTTTTTTTTTATGTTGAGAAATTAAGACAGTGGAAAAACTCAAACCAAACCTACTGATAAAAGGTAGATTAGACTTAGAACTCAAAAAGGTATTAGTAGATTCTCCTAAGGTACAGAATCCGATTAGAACTAACGAGCCAAATCAGGGAAAAAAAACAAAATGAAGCAAGTAACTGTTTTGGGACTTACCGAAGTTGTCCCCATGCATGCCGGACGGGCCGGGTATCAGCCCGGGGATGCCCTGCAGGCCGAGGAATGGAAACGACGGGCGGGTGTGTTCGACGTTGCCGTTGATACCTTCGATGTCATCGCCGTGATCGGACGCAGCCGTGTCGCTGCTGTTCGAGTCCTCACCGCTGATGGCATTCTGCAGTGACTGCAGGTCGGGGTGTTTCTGGATTTGATGAAGGGGGGAAAGTGTTAGTTTCGGTTCCGCCGGGTTGATAGCTTCGCTGTACATGTTTTGGACAGCCAAGTATCAATGGCAGGCTACGCACAGCAACACCTACCGATGGCACAGACAGGGTAGGTCCGCCTTCCAGTACCTGTGAGAGTAGCGATTCGCGATGCGACTCCAGACTGCGGTCCCGGTCGCGCACATCAAAGTCACTGCCGGCGGTGCTGGTGCCACTTCGGAGGTCCTTGCTCTTGTCCTTGGAACGTTCGCGGGTCAACGGGTGCTGTCCAATGGGGTAGTGCTCCAGCGGGATCGGATCCTCCGGACTGAGCCCGTGCTGTTTGCGGTACAGTTCTGAACTTTTGGTACGCTTCTGGGGCGGTGGCACTGCTCCGCCATCCTCCGGCGGTTCCCATGGTAATGACGATGAAGTCTATTTACGGGGAAGCGAAGGGGTGTGCGTTCCCAATTTGGGAGATAAGAAGGAAAAAAAGAAGCAAGAGAAAGAGAAACAGAGAGCGGAGAGGGGGAGAAATGGGTACAGAAAACAAGGGGGATTAATTATCGTGAGCCCGGTTTTAATTTGAATTTTATTACGGGTGATGCTTTTAGCTCCTGAACAGCAGGTGTCGATAACGAGGAGGAATTTAGCGCTGAGGCGCCGCCGGTGGACGTTCGGCTCGGGTTCGTCACATCTGCCAGCCCCCGCACTTGGAGCAATTGTGCCGTTTTGAGGAAATCGCTTAATTGATCCTGTCCGATGTGCACCTCGCCGTTGTACATAAATCTGTTGTTGATGTGTTTTGAAGCATTGAGCGAGAGAGAATGAAAGCGAGAGACGAAAGGGATGGAAATGGATTAATTAGTTTAGTTTTCCAGAGTGATAAACGAGCGAGCGACGGCCATTACCTTAGCAGACTTTCGATGTCCTCGGAGCGTACGTCACGCAGGATGACAATCGGATGCTCGCAGGGATTCGCCTTCAGCAGCTTGCGAAAGTAGGGACTACACGCACTCAGGACGACCTGCGAAGGACAAGAGAAGTGGTTGGAGGTGTTTATCAGAGGGTAGCGGGGGTAAAAGTTAGTTAATGGGATTATCGAGTAGAAAATTGTTGGTTGAGGAATGCGGATTTCGAAGGGTGTATGGCGAATTGTTGCTTCAGCTTTTGGCGGTGCCTAATTCATGGAGATGATGATGATGCTTGCCTTTTGTCAACTTACACAGTTTAAATTAGGAACAGAGCATTTCCAGGCGATTTGCATGAAACGGTGCATAATTGTTTGTTATGGTCAATAATTCACATTTTTGCTAAAATTCGGTCATTTTGAATCGCACAAAAACTTCAAAATGGCGTATTCAAGATTTTTCAATAAATCATAGCTCGTAGCTTCCAATCGAACAAATCATCACTTAAAGTTGTAGGAAAAAACTAATTTCTTTAAAAGTAAAATATACACGGCAGAAAATTTCAAGTTATTTTGGGGAAAAAAAATCCAAAAAGTGTTTAAAACTTAAAATTACTCTTTTCAATATTTTTTAAATATTAAATAGCACCACAGCTAATGTGAAGCAGCTTTGCTCAAGGAAGCAATTTAATTCTCAAATAGTTCACGATTTATACATGTTTTTAATATGTAATGCAGGGTGATTCCTAATAGATCGGTTTCTCAAAAGTTACTTTTTAAACATTGATTTCTTGTAAACTATAGGTTCTAGAGACTGTTTTCTAAATTGTATAGCGCACATTTACAACTAAGGTGCTTTCTTTTTTTGTAGGTAAAAAGTGAATTGAATTAATTAAACAAAAATGTCCCTCACAGTTGTTTCACCGCAGATAATCGAAATCATGATTTTTCAAATGCAGCTAATAACATAAAAAATCCACTAATGCCATTTTTAGATTTAAACATATGAAATTACGTATTTTTCAGTGAGCATAATTTATAGCTTTTCATCAACATGAGTTAGCAACTAAGCTGATTCAGCAAACATATGGGCCATTTAAATTTTAAAAAGTGTTTAGATCAAATATTTAACGTGAAATCAATAAAGTTACAGTTCAAAAACCGATTTGATAGGGGCTACCCATAAGTTACTTATTAGACATAGACAATCGACTATAAAAAAATAACTTGTTCTATAACTTTGTCCAACTTTTGTATCGAATAACAAAAAAGATTATATTTAGAACTCATCAACTATATGGACCATCCTAATGTTTTCTTTTCCTCTGTTCGGGACCTAACACTTCTGCGACCAGTAATTTGATCTATTGTAGTATATCCCGTGTCCTTAGTTTAGTGCATGTCGTATTACTACATCACTATTGAGAAATTATGAAGTATTATTCGATTTTTTTACAGTTGCCACTCTTGCATTTATCGCAAGGATCCGACTCTAATTGAAAGGTACCACTCTTTATACCCTTAAGAGTGTTGGAACACCCTCCAAAGGCGCGCCCCTTTGTCAGTCAAAATTGGATTCCTTAGCAACAAAATTGAGGAATGACACCGATAATGACCATGCATCAGAACCCTAGTCTTAACCACTTCAAACTAGGGAACAACGAATAGAAGATTAGGAATCACATAGATGAAGACAACTAATTCATTTTTTTCCTTGTTTCAAGATCATCCTCGGTAGACAAAGCCGAGTCTTGTAAGGCATAAACAGTAACAAGGACTAAGATGTGTTCCTTGGATTACTGAAGTAGTCAGGACTAGGAATCGGTGGTAGATCTTAGATACCGTAAAGTACCACGAAAAGATGATCTACCCACGCTACGGGGCAATCCTAATGTTTTGTTCATAAGAAGATTTATCAAAGTAAAAAAAACTTTCCCGAAGACACTATATACCTAAAATTAATGATGTAGGCACAAATAATGTAATGGCTTCTGGACCATAGTGTATTAATATAAACCTATACAACGTCCGAAATTTACGAATAACTTATTAAAAATTAGCCCATGCAGCCTCCTGAGTTATCTGGACCTGGAGACGATCCAAGAGACATTCGGAATCGATGAATAAAGTGAAAAAATTAACTCTTAGGATCTTTCATGCCGACAGATCTTAAAATAAAATAACCTTAAAATTGTGTTAAAAAAGAATCCAGTGCACTTCATTGCAATGTCTCCACCATGTTGGATGCAAAGGTTTTTTTTATGGCACTGCACAGTGGTCTAAAAGTGCCAAAACGTGCGTTTTTTAGTTTATGTGAAAACGGTCCATTTAAGCCATATAGTGTCTTGGGAGAAGTTTGTGCACTTAAAAAGCCCCTTCTTTTGAGCTTAGCCATTTCATAATTTATCCACCTAGCAGGGAGATGAAGAATTTACTTTGTTTTTGTTTGTGGAGATAGCAAAATGGTGTCTTGAGCAAAGTTTTGGACAATATTAAAAAAAAACATTTTTGCTGAAGATGTCAACCCTCTATCTCTTATGTTCACAGAGATATGTTATTTTTTTTGTAAGATCCTTCAGAAAATCATTTTTTTGCAAATAACTTTTTAGGAAGTAATTTTTTGACATTAGTATGTTTTACACAAATGTTTGTTTTTTTTTTTAAATACGCCATTTTGGCTTGGGAGCAAGTCCCTATCTTAAATATTTCTTAAGATATTCAAGGTTTTGATGTTTTGATCCAAAATCAGCACTATTTACAAGGTCAATAGCTCGAAGTTGGGCAAAGTTGGGCAAACCAGGTTGATTACATTTGAAAGTATGCTACCCAATGCATACAAAATCATTAGTTTTCTTTAGTATTCTCTGCCAATCTGCTTATTACTAAACTATAGAAAACCGTGTACAAGATAATCGTTTTCTTGCATTTATACATATAGCAGCTTCTTGATACGTTATTTACTGTTGAAAGAAAATTCGAATTCGGTTAAATCGAAGTAAGCATGCAAAAAAGAGAAGGCGTTACAAAGCCGCGTGGGGTAAAAGTTTTGATTCCAAATTTTAAATTGCAGTGACCGGTGATTCGTAGTGTCTATTGTAGTGATTGGTTGACTGAATAAACAGTGGTTCTTGGTTCTCGTGAGTCCCGGTGTCTATTGTAGTGTTATAAAAATGACTGAACTACGATTGATCTCTGTTCCCCCTGGCAGGTGATTCACAGTGTCGATAGTAGTGACCGATTGATTGAACGAACAGTGGTCCTTGTTCTTCCCGGAATGTGATTCTCGGTGTTTGTTGTAGGAACCGGTTAACTGAACGAGCATTGGTCCTTGAATCATCTGACCCGTTAATTTCAACAATAAGACCCCTTCCAAAACAAGCAAAACTGCTTTTGTCCAAAGATGCTCAAACTCTTCTAGTTGCATCTACCGATGGTGAAACAGATGTAAGCGACAATTCTGAAAGTGACGAGGAAATGGGTAGCGATGAATTTTATTTTCTTTGATATTGTATGAAACGGTTGATGAAATATAACTATCTTGAGATATAGGTAGTAATCATTTGAGGTAGTAATGTTGTTTTTAATGTTCATAAAAAAACAACAGTAACACAATTGTACGGGAAGTCGTGACAAAATAGTTTGGTAATAAGCAGATCAGCAGAGAATATTAAAGACTAATGATTTGGTAAGCATTGGGCAGCATTTTAAGTATACTTTCAAATGTAATCAACCTGGTTTGCCCAATTTTGCCCAACTTCGAGCTATTGACCTTGTAAATAGTGCTGATTTTGGATCAAAACCTTGAATATCTTAAGAAATATTGAAGATAGGGACTTGCTCCCAAGACAAAATGGCATATTTTAAAAAAATCAATCATTTGTGTAGAACATACTACATAATGTCAAACAATTACTTCCTGAAAAATTATTTGCAAAAAATTGATTTTCTGAAGGCTCTTACCAAAAAAATGACATATCTCTGTAAACATAAGAGATAGAGGGTTGACATCTTCAGCAAAAATGTTTTTTTTAATATTGTCTAAAACTTTGCTCAGCACACCATTTTGCTATCTCGATAAACAAAAAAAGTAAATTTTTCATCTCCCTGCTAGATGGATTAATCATAAAATGGCTAAGCTCAAAAGAAGGGGCTTTTTAAGTGCACAAACTTCTCCGAAGACACAATATGGCTTAAAAGGGACCGTTTTCACATAAACTAAAAAACGCACGTTTTGGCACTTTTAGACCACTGTGCACTGTATTGACTAGATGATATATTTCTACAAATGCATTGAAAATAAATGCAATAACAATACGGTGTTGATTTACTAGTCAGATAATAGAGATGATTATCAATCGATAGAAAATTAATCGACTATTTTAATTATTACTCGATTAGTTGGAATAATCGACAAATAACCAAACATTGCGGGGTTGGTGGTGTAGTGGTAAGTGTGATTGCCTCTCACCCCAAAAGGCCTGGGTTCAATCCCAGTCGACGCTGCTGGGATTTTCTGAGGCATAAAATCTCTCATCACGCCTTTCTTCGGAAGGGCAAAACGGACCATTGAGGACAATGCATAAATTGATTAGGGGCAATGCATAAATGACGTAGCATTTTAGGGTCACCAGCAGGGTTGCCAAAAGGAAATTTGTGTTTTTGTTCAAAAAAATCTTTTCATCTTAGTTTTTGTCCAGAAAATCTGTGATGATATCTGTGTTTAAAATTTATTAATTGAATCCTTAAAAAATGTCATTTGAAAAGTGATTCAGCAATTTTCTTGACAGAGACAAAAAATAGATAAAAATATATGTATCATAAATTGGCAAAAAAGTATACCTTTGGCAGTTCTCATTCTCTTTTTTCAAAGCAAGCATAGATATAAAAGATGGTGATGATAAAATTACACTGAAGTGAAAATAATGCTTTGTTACTTAACACCTCAAGTTTAATTTATTAAATGTTTGATCAAATTTTAAAAATCTGTGTAATCTGTTAAAATCCTATAAATCTGTAATCTGTGAATACAGAATCTTGGTTTTAAAAACTCTAAAAAATCTGTAGAAATACAGATTTATCTGTAGTTTTGGTAACCCTGGTCACCAGCCATGTTAGAAATACTCTAAGGGGAGGGGGTCCAAAGCCCTAAAATGCTACGTCATTTATGCATCTTCCTTCCCTTAGTTATTTTTGAATTCTGCAGCTGTTCAGTAAAATTTTGAAAATTTGTAAAAATTCAAGAGTTGAAAAATTAATCCTGAATTAGTACAGGCTGGATTTTGTTGACACAATTTTAAGATAAAAAGTAAAATATTCAAATTTTGTTGACTTATTAGCGAATAATGGTCGCTTGAAATTTTACCGACTTATCCCACGATTCAAAATTCCAGTTAAATTTCTGACTCCAGTAAAATAATGTAAGCGTCTACGAGCATAAATTTATTCAAGTTTTGCGTTTTGATTTCTCAACAGTTCCGATATATCATTCTGGAGTTTGATAAAAATCCCGTGTGGATACTATCTTAAGTTTATTAATCGAACCATGCTGAATCTACGATGGATTCGAATGGTTATGCTACCGAATAACGATAATGCATTTTCAGAGCTATTGCAGTTTCTGCCCACTCAAAACCGGTACCGATTGAGTCTCAAAAGGCCCCCGTATTCTGCGAGTCGTGTGACTCTCTGTCACTGGTGAGGTGATAAAATTCACGTCGTGTGAGGAGACTCTCTGTGCAAATCAAATGGAAAGTTACCTACCACGACGTGACTTTTGGCAACCTCACTAGTGCCAGAGAGTCACACGATTCGCAGAATAGTCGTGAGGGATACTTTTCATATTCTCTGTATCGTTTGATCTATAGAACTTAATGGGTTTTCATACATAAATATTTTGGCTTTTCAGCACATTCGGATAACTCGGAGCGGGTTCCGGTAGTACCAGAAGCAGACAGTTTAATAAAAAAATGTGATATACTAGTTCCACCAATATGGCTTTGAAACAGAACTTCTCGTTAGCAGGAGTTGGAAATCAAGCAACTTGCCTAAATAATACCACCGATCAATTTCTCAAGACCAACACTATTGAAAATCGCGCCAATGGGAGCTATTATGTAGTATTCAATGTCACCGCGGGCAATAAACAAAGAATGCCCTGCCCAGCACACCAGCATCATCTTCCGATCTATGAATCTCAATAGCTGTCAATCTGCCACAAATCCGTCATGCATATCCGTCTGGCGAAAACATCAAACCACACCATCTACTACGGATGGCGATGATGATGATGACGATAATGCAAAAGAGCAACCTAGGTTATAAGGAGGTCATCGCACAACTCACCTTATGGGCGGTGAACGATCGTTGCTCGCAGGCAATCGTCACATCGACAAAGTCCTCCTCGTCACGCAGATGCCGAAAGGACGACAGGATGGAGGACTGGAAGTCGTTCCATTTGAGTGCATACTGCTGCTGCTCCGAGGGCGTCGGCGAGAACGGTCGATGTTGATGCTCTCGCTGATGCTGTTCTCGCTGGTGCTGCTGCTGCTGCTGGTGGTGAGATTGACTTTGCGACATCGTCGCCGATGCCGATGACGATGACTGTTGATGCTGTTGCTGCTGTTGCTGGTCTCGTTCTCGCTGTTGTTCACGTTCCCTCTGCAATAGCTGAAAGTGGTGGTCCATTTTGGCATCGCTGTTGCTATTGCTACTCCGGTTCTTGCCAGTGCTGCTGTTGTTATTGTTGTTGTTGTTGTTGTTATTGTGTATGCTGGTGTTGCTCTGCTGGCTGCTGTCCGTGGCGTGCATTTGCTGCGTTTCATTCATCCTTCCGAGGGTGGTCCACGGTGTCGACGGCGTCGTCCTCGTCGCCGACGTCGACTGTTGGGGCGCTGGAGTAGTTGGAGTCGGAAATCGACTCAATTTCTCACTCTGCTGGCTCGCGACAGTTGCTGTCGTCATTCAATACATCGAGACTGATTTGGTTTGACGTTTTTTTTTTTTGTATTGTTCACTGCCTCTCGTGTCGTGGGGAGTGAGAAAGGACTAGGGGGAAACTCGAACCAGAGGTGGGCGCTTGTCCTTAACAATGAGTAACTCTTTGTTCTGCTCTTTTGCAATATTTTCTTAACAGTGTTCAATTTTTTGTTTTCCTGAGAGGTAGTAGTTTGCTTCTTTTTGTTTTGGTTTGAGATCATTTAAGCTTTCGTTGGAAATCCATATTTGCGGTTGTGCTGTTGAAGCGCGAGGCTCGCTCTCTCTCGGGTTGAAGTATTTCCACGGAAAACAAGGGACGGAATCTGCAATTGAAAAGAATGAGAGAAAGGGTGCAAAAACTTGATTAATATTCCGGACAAATACTAATGCACACGGTGCTATTATTATTATTATTATTATTGTTGTTGTTATGGCAGAAGGGATGAGTGCGAGTGAGCGAGAGATGAACGGTGCAGTAGTGGTGCATTTTTCGGGCCCGAATTTGAGATTTGAGGGTGGGAGTTGGGTGGCGTGGGGTGCTTTCTAGATCGGGCCAGGAAAACGCAGGCGCTATGATTGAATGTGTTGCTGGAGGGACGGCGATGCACTGTGGGATATGTTGGAACAATTGAAAGATTTGTTATTTATTTTGAAGATACTGAACTTTTAAAAACTTGTAAGAATTTTGTTAGGCATTAGAAATAATTTTGCTCCTGGGAGTCTATCAACCGATTTTGACCATATCCAAATCCAGTTCTAACCCACCGTACCGGTAGTTTTTATTGTTTCCACATAAAATTGCACTTGCATGGCTATACTTATATGCTACTGTTCTGGGTGCGGACGACGAGGAGGAATAGGACATTACAAACAGCGAGAGAAAGAGAGTAAAGTTTGAAATTTCCTGGCAATCTTTGACTCCGGGATCGGCGGGTGGTGAATGTATAGAGAATAGAACATAGTGATGGTAGTTTTGTGAATGTACCACCAACACAAGTGCACTTTTCTTCGGGGGGGGTGGGTGTGCAAGGTGGCAATGACAAAAGCGGAGGGGGTGATCCGGAGGAGAAGGAAGAGGTCAATTCGCCAACAATTTGGAGCGTGTGTCATGGTGTTGGTGTTGGTGTGTCTAGATCAAAATAATAAAGATTAATGCTTTTTAACGAGAGCGAGCTGGTTCGGAATGTATGAGTGCAAACTGGGTAGAGGAGTACGGCACACGATGTGGACATTTAGAAGAGTTTTGGGAATGTTTTTTTGTTGTTGTGTTGTCGTCGGTGGATGAATGGGATGAGGGGGTGGGGGAAAGGGGGGCTTCTGTTGATGGGAGAGTATACAATGCGGAACAGAATAAATATTAATCTGTGAATGCATTTTAATAGAAGTTTTCCTCTTGGGTTTTCTGCTTGCAGAGTGCGTTTGGGGAAGGAGTTAATATCGATCCGGGGGTTGGTTAAATGATTTATGGAATATAGCAATAGCTGGGAATGGTTTGTTCAAGTTAAATATTGGAGCTGGCGTTCTGTGCACTTCGGTGATGAAAAGGGAATAGACATAATTTTTAAGGAAAGATAGGAAATGTTATTGCGCATTATTGTAATATACGAACTTGATAGAGCCACAAAACACGTACGGGTATATGAAATATGATTATTAAACAGTGCGTAAGGGGTCGCCGATAGAAAACTCTATTAAAAAAAAATATTGAGATACAGTGTTGGCAAAATCATCAATCAAATTATATTTTTCCGCAATCATACGCTCTCAATATTACGCGTAATATTGGAACAAAATATCATGCTTGATATTGATTTTACAAGCTCCTTTGATATTGCGAGACTATTCACAACGTGCAAAAATCAAGCGGAGAGTTGACTAGACACAAAAATCGTTCCGTTGTACATCGTTTTTTTAGAAAGAAAAAGTATACTATGCTATCTCTTTTTACTGTTTACCGATGGCAGACACGATGTGACTGCTGCCAGCCGTTATGAAAGTTTCGGTTGCGTTCGGATGTAAAGCAAAAATCATTAAACTCAATCTCACCACAGTTTGTTGAGATTTGCAGCTGGTGAGTTTCGTCAGCTTGATATTCCGAGCTGCAATATCACAGCTTGAAAAATCAACCGCAGCTGTATGCTAGTTGATTTGTGTCTACGAAAGTCAAGCGTGATCTTAGGCATTGGCGAGATTTGATTTTTTTGATTATTTTCCCAACACTGGTGAGATAACATAGTCATTGCCTTCAACAAAGATTTTTGTTTTAGTATATTCTGAGCACAGGACCTCGATATCGAAAACAAAATTTAAATTTGATTGTTTTATCTCACTTTTAGGAAGATAAATCATGAACCTACTTACTTGAAAAAAGCATTTTTTTTAATTTAAAAAACTCTTCTGAAGACTCTAGGTTGGTAGAATGCATAGTTAAATAATTGTTAATGGGATATAATGCACTAAACATATTTAACGAAGCATTAAAAAAACAAATGCTCTCTGTGTAAATTAGAGGCACTTTAGAAGGTGTGATGAGAAAATTGCCAATCAAAAAGGTAGTGGGGAAATGGAGTTTAATACAGTTCGTGTCAGAACAATTGAACTAGCTAAAATCATACCGTCACTGAAACCGTTGTATATATTGTTTCCTACCCGAGACATCCCATGAAATATACCAAAAATTATTCTTCTTCTTCTTTGCATTTCAAGCTTATTGCATATCGCATATTAGCTTATTGCGTGCTCTCAACTTAGTGTTTTAGATGCACTTCCACCGTTATTAATTGAGAGCTTTCGATGCCTGTACCGTTTTTGCATTGGTATAATTGTGTGGCAAGTCCAATCATACTTTTATGCCCAGGGAAGTCGAGAAATTTTCCTACCCGAAAAATTCCTAGACCGGACCGGGAATTAAACCCAGCCACCTCCAGCATGGTCTTGCTTTGTAGCTGCGCCTTTACCGACTGAGCTAAGGGAGGCCCCAAAATTTACCAAAAATTACGTTTCCCGATTTCTGGGAATCTGTTCCAGTTTGATTTGGTTTACGTCGATCTTCTTTTCCGTGGTGAGCACCAATGCTACCGACGCCAGGGAGGCAGCTCCCACACCTGGACCCTACCTATTGACCCATCAACTCATGAACCGAGGACCAACGGCTTTACTTCCCGAAGGAAGGCGTGATCAGAAATGTTATGCCTCAGAACATCCCGGCGGCACCGACTGGGATTGAACTCAGACCTGCTGGAGTGAGAGGTAATCAAGCTTACCACTACACCACCGGCGCCGCTTAAAATAAACTTATCAGGAGAAAGTTCGATGAAACTTCCAGAGGAATCTGATGGGAAATCGGGAGCATATCGCAGAAGAAGTCAGAATAATTTTCCGAGGGAAGCCAGAAGAAATTTCCAGGAGAAGCCAGAAATCAGAAGAAAAAGAAGTCGAAAGAAACTTCCGGGGATTTCGAAAATACTTCTGGGGTTGCTGGAGAAGTTGGATGAACCTTCCAGCGGAAGTCTACTGAAGTTATCCGGAAAGCCTGGTGGACTGAATCTACAAAAGCTCAATACATCATTTTGCGGAATGCTGTTGAAGAAGAAAGTTAGAGGCAAATGATTGTAAATGAATGCACGAAATGAATGCAAATGATTTTCCATGCCTGCTCCTGAGGGTAGTAGTAAAGAAATCTGAAAGAAGCTGGAATTTTTTTTTAATATTACAACTAAGTGATTAAACTTTTCTAAATTTAAAAATCACACATCATTCAAGTTAAAAAATAAACATTCTGATGAATACCCGTCACGAAATCAACTTAATACTTGTCTGGTTTAAGTGACGAACCAAGCACTGGCTGAAATTCACTCTAATAAAAAAAAATCTGGTCTTAGAACTAAAATATTTCCCGGATCTCGGGAGTTCCTGGTAGAGCCAACAGCTGGAACACTTGTTGTATCTTTTTCGATTACCAATCAGTTTTTATGAAATTTCAAGGACTTTTGGACTAACTAGTGTCTCATATATGCACACAATTTTAATGACATTATGGTGATTATTGGACATCTTTCACTTAACCAGCTGTTTCTCTTCGTGATGAAAATATATTTACACCAACAAATGACCATACACAACCTGCACATGAGTGAACATAACCTCAAAATTTAACGGTTATTAATTCACTCAATATAGTTTTTAAATTCACCGAAAATTTACCAATGCTTCATTTATATAGAATTAGCTACTTTTTCCGGAACATTTAATTTTTTCCAATTTTTGTTTTTAGATTAGATAATACTTGATAAACATAAAAGTGTAATTACTGGATACCAAAATTAATTAAGTTGAATTAAATGGAAGATAACCTTTTTTGCTGTTTTATCTAAGCATTCCGCTAACAACCTAATTTAACTACTTCAATTAAAATCTCTCAAACATTGTTTTTTTTTAGTTTAAATTACATGAAAAAAAACGTTTTAACAAAAGTTCAAAAACTTGACCAAAAGTTTTTGTTTTACAATTTTTTTTCAAAACATTTAAACATTCCAAAAGTTTGCAATTTTTTATAGGCTTTTTTGTAAAAAATAATTTCAAAAATTGTTTTAATTTTCACATGAAATTACTAATTTTTCTTTGCGTATTTTCCCTAGAAAAAAAAATCCTCTACAACTTTATCTCAGACGTAATTTCGATCAGAAATGCCGTTTCTGTGCTACAATTTTGAAAATTTTATAAGGTCCAAAATGACCGCATTTTAACAAAAATGATTGAATCATTGTCAAGTACGCAAAGTTTCAAACAAATCGGAGAAGGTCGACTTAAAAAATCAATTTGTTTTCCGCTATTTTGCCTGGAACTGCTCTATTGTTTGCCCTCTGCAACTTGTAAGAAACGATTCTGCAACTAATTTGGCACGATCAGAAGTGTCGTTTTTGTGCTACAATTTCAAATTAAAAAATGACTGAAAATGTGAATCATTGCCCATAACAAACAATTATGCAAAGTTTCATGTACATCGGAGAATGCCGAGTTTTACCGATTCGTCATTTGGCGTGGAACTGTTCAATAGTTTCTGATAAGTTGCAGAAACCAAAATCGTAGCCTATAAGATTTTTTGCCTATGGCTTTACTATATTTTCCCTTTACTTCTGTGATCTGTGTTGGTGTCAATTCTAATGAAGATCTCGGTTCTGCTTTAAAATAAATTGAATTCTTCTCGTGAACACCTTTAAACTTTCCTGGAATTTTCTGGATTTCTGTGAAGTTCCTGAAATATTGCTGAATTTTTCATAAATTTTCTGAAGATCTCTGTACTGAATCTCTCGGAACATCTTAA